GCGGCTTAGAGAGTACTAACTTCTTTTTAGAGAGCTTAGACGTTATTACTTACTTCTTACTCTCTAAATTAAATAACTTCGTTCTCTAGAGCCTAGATACGTTAAGGTCTATTTTTAAACTACTAGAATATAATCTTAAGGTTCTAGAGCTTATTTATAGTTTTATTATATATAATTTATACTTTAGCGATATCTACGTCTCCTTTTTTAACTTTTTCTTAAAGTCGTTTGTAGGTTTTTTTTTTAAAAATAACCTCGTTATTAAAGTTAATATTTATCGGGGCTATTTTTATTTCTTTAGCTAAGCTTTAAATAAGTTATTTAGAAGAAGTAGAAGAGCCCGGAGTAAGTAATTTAGCTAAGGTATAAGAAAATATTATTCGTATTATTTAGTTAGTCTTTTATAAAATGAACTTATTAAATAAGAATAATTAAAGTATTATAGCTAGCTAGTTATAATAAGTATATTAGTAGAAGTTAAGGCTATAATAGCTAAATAAATAGTATCGTAGTCATAGATAGCTTTTATAAAGCTATATTTATAAGTCGTAAGGTAAGTAAAGCTTTAGTAATTAATTATAATTTTATTAAGAGGAGTTCTTAATAAAAATAGCTAAAAGTAATTATAAGATTTAATACTAAGTTAATTACTAAAGAAGCTATAGAAGTTCTATTCTCGAGCCTAGCTCGAGGCTATACTATATATAAGTCCCGTATACTATCTAAATAGTTCTTTTAAAGTTAGGACCGATATTATAATATTAGTTTTTTAAAAATAAACTACTCTTATTTTATTAATCTTATTTATAGATTACTTATTACTTATTAGTCCTTTTTATTATTACGTAACTTTATTTATAATTCTTTTATTTTATTAGGGTAACTCTTATATTAGTATTTTTTATATATATATAGCGTGTTATAGTTATTATAAGCTTGTGGAGCAGGCCTTAATTTTATCTATATATATTAGGTCGTAATACGTAGCTACTATAAGCTTGCGGGGTAGGCCTTAGTTTTATCTATGCATATTAGGTCGTAATAATTATTATAGGCTTTAATAAGTACTTTTTTAATTTTAATAAATATAAATTAAGTAAAAGATTTAAATTTTATAATACTAAAGTTCTTATTAGCGTTTATAATAATTTAATCCGGTAAATTAAAATAGATATTAATTTAATAGAGCTAAAGAGCTTTTTATATATATTTTATAATTATATTTATAAGGAATTTTATTAATTAAAAAAAAGTAGTAGTATTAATAATATAAAGTACTAGTTAGTTCATACTATTATAATTTAATAAATATATTACGTTAATTATAATTTTATAATTAAAATTATAATTATTTCGTAGGGTAAATTTAAATTAATTAGGGGTAGCTATATTTAGTTAGTATTATTAGTAAACTTTTATAAGCTTTTTAAAAGTAGCGAATTTTATGTTATTATTAAATTATTAAAGTAACTTTAAGAAGTAAAGAACCGAGGGGTAATTAAAATATTAATATAAGTAGCGTAGCTCGCTTTTTATTAAGTAATTAATAATAGTTTTTTTATTATTAAGGAGCAGAAACTAAGAGTATTTTTATTTATAAACGATAGGTATTATAATATCTTTTTTAATTAGTAAGTTATTAACGTTATTAAAATATATTTTTAGTTTATTTTTATCCTTTAAATAGTATAAAAAAGAAGTATTAGTTAGTAATATATAAAAAGTAATATTACTAAATAAGGTATTAACGATTATAAATTTTAATAACTTTATAAGCTCGCTATTATTAAAATAAATACTTATTTTACTAGCCCTAGAGGTATTAAGAATAATTTTAAGCTATTATTTTTATAAAATAAGGAGTTAAAAATATTTAGTAATAGAGAACTCCGTAATTTTAGTATTTAGTATAATATTTTAGAAGTTATTTAATAAGTATTTTTTATTTAATAAGAACGAGGTTATTAGTTTTATAAGCTTAGTTAACTTATTAATAAAAGTAGTATTAGTAAAATTATATTTTATTATTTAAGTAGCGAGGATATTTATAAAAGCTTTGTTATTAATAATAATTATAAAGTAAGTTATTAAAATCTAAACGTTATCTTTATAATTATTTTTATAATTAAAATTAAGGTTATTAAAGTATTAAATTATAATATTTTTATTATTATTATTATTATTAATAGGGGTAGTTCTTTTATAGAACGTAAAGAACTATAAGTATAAGCTTAGTATAAATCTCTCGTTTTTTTTTTTTTTTTTATATATTTTTAATATATTTAACATTATTTTTTTTTAAATATTTAGTTAATTAATAACCGGTTTTATAATAGATAAAGTAAATTTTATTAATAACGCTACGCCCTCGTTAGTTCTAGTTATTAAACTAGGTCTTTTTATTAAAGCTATTATAAATATAATTAGTTTAATAAGTAATAAGGATTTTTTTATTGTTAGTAATAGTTTAAAAATATTATTATAACTTATTATAGTTACGTTTTCTCTTTATAATATTAATTAAAATACTAAGCTAGTAGTGGATATTAATAAATATAAGTATTAAGTTAAGGATAATAAGTTTATATTTTAATACTTTACTTATATAATAGAGGAGTTAGTTATTTATATTAAAAATAGATTTTTAAATAGTTAGTGCTTTATAGAGGATTATAATGCGGTTAATTAGTACTTATAGAATTTATTAGTTCGACTTATTTAAATATTTATAAACTATAGAGTATTAATAAAAATTATAGAGCTTAGTAAAATAGTTTTAATAATTTATAGGAGGTTCGAAATATTTTTAAGTTTTTTAATATATAATATTAAAACTAAGCGGGTTAGAGGTATTACTTAGTTAGTTAAAATAAAAAGTTAATACTTTGTTTTTAAGTATATTAGGGAAAGTATTAGTATAATATTATTTATTAATTCTTACTCATTAATAAAGTATTTTAAAAATTTAAAGTTTTTTATTAAAAACGTTATATTTTTTATTATTATACTTATTCTTATTATTATAGAGCTTAATAAGGTTAATTAATTAATAGGTATTGGGTATAATGTTATTATTAGTCCCTTTATTAAATTATATTACTTAACGAGGTTAATTTTATAATTATATAATAGTGTTTTTATTTTTTAGTTTTTTTTTTTTTTTTTTTTAAAAAAGGGGGTAGGTTAGTTAGTTAATAGTAGGGTTAAAGTTAGAATTTTATTTATTAAAATTAAGCTAGTTAGGGTTACGCAGACTCTTTTATTATTTTTTTAACTCGTTAAATAAGGTTATTAATATTTATTAATTATAATAATAATAAATAAAAGAAATAAAGATTTTAATATAATACGTTAAAATATTTAATATAGCCCCGATGGGCCGTAATTTTTTTAGAAGTTTAGGTTAAAAAATATTATATTTTTTAAGTACTAGCGGGCTTATTTATAATTTAATTACGATTTTTAATTATAAAGTTAATATTATTATTTATAAGGAAGTTTTTAAATTTTTTAAGGATTTTATTTTTAATTTTTAAAAAGTCCTTTACGTTTTAATTATTAAAGTTAGTTTTAAAGTTTTTTTAGAGCTCCTCTCTTATTAGGCCTTTTTTATAATAAGATTTTAATATATAAATAATAAAGATATTAAGTTTTTTATTAAAAATAAGGGTAAGTATAATATTAAAAATATTTTATTAAGTTAGATTAATAAGATCTTATTAATAAATTAGAATTATATATAATTCCGTAATTTAAATATATAAATAGGTTAGAGGTAACGTTAGCTAATTATTAGTTTTTTTTTACTTATTACTAAAGCTAGTAGTTATTATAATATACTCGCAAAGTAGATTTTATATATATATAATAAAAAATAATTATATATAATAATTATTATAATTATTTATAATATAAAGTTAGTAAAATTAAAAAGAGTAATAAAATAGCCGCGGAGGTTATTTTAATAATAATAAGCTTATTATTATTAATAATTAAAAAATTTTACTCTTTTAATAAAGTATATAAATAGAAAGTTATTAAAGGTAGTAAAAAGTTATAAAAAGGGTAAAAGGCTTTTTTATAATTATATTTTTAGTAATAAGTAAAGGATTTTATTAATTAGTAATTCTTTTTTAGTATTTTTAAATATCCGCTTTATAAATATTATTTTCTTATTTTTATTAAGTTAAAAAGAAATAAATTTGTTAATAATATAAAATAGAACCCTATTATTATTATTATTAAGGTTTTTTTTTAGTAATATAATAGTTATAAAATATTTTATAATTTTATTAAATAATAAACTTTTTAATTTTATAAAATAATAAACTTTTTAATTTTATAATTTTTATAATTAATTTTTTAATAATAAGTAATCCCCTTTTATTTTTTAATAATCTAAAGCTTTACTTAGTTATAATATATTTAAAATTAATTATTTTATAAATAGTTTAAGTAAAAAGAGGAGGAGGGTAATAATAATAGTAATTTTTAAAATAAGGTTAATAATAAAAATAAGGCTAATAATAAAAGTAAAAGTATTAATTTTTTTATAATAATAATCTTAATAAAAATAATTTTATATAGTAAAATACGCTCTTAATAATTTTTAACTAATTAATTAATTATTAACTAATATTAATAAAAAAGAGTTAAAATAATATAAACTAAGCTATATATTATTAATTAAATAAATAGAAATAAATTAATAAGTTAAAATAATTAGCAAAATAAGTTAAAGCTATTTTTTTTATAGTTATATTTTTATTAATTTATAATAAAAATATATATATAATTTAATTATTAATTAATATTAGTATATACGTAAAATAAGTTAAATTTTTTAGTTATAACGAGGTTAATAATAATAAATTATTTATTAAGTATATAAAAGGGAGGAAGTTCGTGGGTAGAGCTTACGATCCTTTTGTGGGTATAAGTAGGTAAAAAGGTCTGTTAGTACGGGCCCCGATTGCCTACTTAACCACCTACCTACCTACCTACCTAAATCCACCTTTTCTGCCTTCGTAATCCAACACCTATCAAGCGAATGATGTGTACGATGTTCTTGGCCTGCTTTAGGGCTATGACCAAGTTCGTCATGGCCTTCTCTTCCAACAGGCCTCCTGGAGTAATGACAAAAACACCCTCAATGTCGATGAGGGCAGCGGAGAGGGATGTAACGTCTGAGTAATTGGCCTCGACAACTTCGGCGTTTGGAAAGGCATCTTGAAGCAGTACTTTCTTGCCCGGGCTGCTTGTCGCCAGTCGCATTTTGATAGAAGGAGCCTCTCGAGTGAGAAATTCGGCCAAGGGGCTGCCAATATGACCGGCTGCTCCGAAAATGAGAATGCTCTTCGGAATAGGCTTGATGATTAGAGACATTTTCGAGAAGTTTCACGTGACAATGAGACTTCTTGCTACAGAGTGAGTGAGATGACGCCTTGTAACGGGGAGAGGAGAGTTCGTAACGAAGTTGAGAGAAGTCCGCGATTCGAATATTACCAAGAGAGTTTAAATATAGCCTTTTAGTCAGAGGTTTTATTCGTAAGTATGGCAAGCCGGGAGTCAACAAGTGCCGTTCGGGCCTTCTACGAGCCCAGCAGCCGAGATCATTGTCTGAGTTTGACAAGGCTGGGCAAGACCGGGGGACATGTGTCAGTAAAACTAAGCTATCGAAGCTTCCAATACCCCTTGACAGCATTGATATTAGATAGAAGTTTTAGCTCACGGTACTCTTGGCTGAAATCCACAAAAACCTCAGCTGGTGAACATTTCGTCTCGTTTTACAGTCAGACAGCGGTAACCGTTACCACTTTGGACTAGGATTCCCGTCTGAAAGTAGGTCCAGGCGGATCCTTATCAGTGGCGAACCGCTGACATAAGCGGCTTGATTAATAAATTTCGAAAGCTTAGGCGTCCTGCCTATATAGGAGTTAGGGGTTCCGTGATTTGTTTCCTAACTTGGCATGCCGGACAGTTTTGAGTTCTGAAGTTTGTTTCGAGATGACTATCCTGTCCTTGTGATTTACAATCGTGCGCCTAGGCGGATACTTTTGGACATCATTTTAAATCCGTCAACATACGGGACGGGGCGTCATTGGAATTAATTTCGTCAAGTGGCATGTAGCGACATAAGCCTCAACATTGGATTTGTTGTTCTCCGCTACGTTTAGATATCTACCATCTGGTTTCCAACACCAAACAGAACGAGACCAACACCGCCCTAATCAATATACGTACATAAAGTTGGGATTCTCCTTGTCAGTCAGGTCTGTAAATGCTGTGGCATTGAGCTCGTCCGCGGTATAGTTGCCATTTGCACGCAAAGTTTCTCTTTGCTTCTCTTTGCGCTTGTTCTCCCAGATAAAGGCATACCGAAAGACAAAGAAGAGGGCAAGCTCAATGCAATTTGCAACCAAGAGTGAACCAATACCGAGGTGATACGAGGGAGCCTGATTCGTCTTGTAAAAAAACGGACTTGCGATATTGCCGATGCAAGCGCCAAACCAAATCATGCCGAAGACAATCATCTTCTTTGATTGGCCGCCAGTGTTCGATGTGATTAGCGAAAGAGAGATGACGAAGGAAGCCTGGTATGAACCAGTAAGATAGCTTATGAATGTCAGTATCCATCTCGCGATAGTGCAAGTGAGAAGGCATCTTACAAGCAAATGAGTCGGCCGATGTAGGCATTGGCTGGTGCAAGAAGGAACCCCAAGGCACCACCAATGGTTGGCAACATGAAAAGAGCACAAACCAATGTACGACTGTTGGCCGGCATGTACCTGTTCGCCAAGGCACCAAGACCAATCCAGATTACCACAAGAGCGCCTTGCGGGATGCCAAGCAGCGCCGTCTCAAGCGTCCCAAAGCCAAGACCCTTAATAACAAGTGTGGAGAAGTTGGAGATGCCACCGTTGGGAACGTTGGAAACGAAGCCTAACAAGGTGAAAAGCCAAGTTTTGTAATCCATATAAGCCTCCTTGATTTGTCCCCAATTAATACGCCGCTGCTCGATGCCAGTTTGATTGCGACGCATGCGAGCAATCATGATGAGTTTCTCTTCGTGATTGAAGCCCCAGATGGTTCGCGGAGAGTTGGGGAGGCAGAGAGCGAGGATGATTGCCCAGAACGCACAAAAAGCACCGACAACAAGGAACTCGTAGCGCCACGGCTCCAGGGCGCCTTTAATGTGTCCAATACCGTATCCTAGAACGAAGATTGTCAGTAAAAGGTTATTGGGAGAGAACAATGTACAGCGTGAGAATCGTCCAAACTTACCAATAAGACCGCCACCAGCAACACCAATTCCATTCCAAGCATACCACGCTGAGATACGAGAGGGCTGCTCAGATCGCGTGTAGTACATCGATGTGATCAACATGAAAGCAGGATCTGCGATGGCCTCAAAGGCACCGGAGAGTACGCGGAGGGCGAGAAGACCGCCGAAGTTCTTAGCCGCGGCCTGGGCCATAAGAAGGGCGCCCCACATGAAGATATTGAAAGAGAGATACCAAGCTGGGCGGCAGCGTTGCATAATCAGGTTGGACGGGATAGCCCAGACGAGCCAGCCGAAGTAGAAGCAACTGGAAAGCCATGAGTATTCTTCGCCTTTCAGGTTGAGGCCGTCCTTTAATCCGAAAATCGCCGCGTAAGATCTGTGGCATGATCAGCTAAAAGCTACAGAGAGCCCAGAATTTGTGGTCTATGGAATGAGGGCTATACAGGGTGGTCTTGTCGACGTAGTAGAAGAAGTAACAGATTCCAAGAAGTGGCAAGATTCTCATGTCGAGTTTGCGGAGAAGACGCCTCTCATCGGCTTGATCAATTGATTCGTCGTTTGGGTACCGTGCCAGCGCTTCAAGATAGATCTCTGGGAATTCTTGCTGGCCGTCTTCATGCAAAAGCTGCGGCTTCTGGAGATCTTGCTCGACATGTTCAACATCGCTCTTGCGCGACTTGGAGTCCGCGACGTCTGGAATTGTGTCGACCATATTGGCAGCGAGTCGCGGGCTCGCTTGGGAGATTTTCTCAGTACTGCTCGGTGAAAGATATTTCTGAATTGTCTAGCCGCTGTGAAGACCTGAAGCTTACATGTACTTGCAACCTCGAGGGAGACTGGGAGAGGATATTCTTTCCTCAAGTACTTGAATATCTGATAGCGAGCGCTTCGAATAGCCTTGTACTGTTTTCCCGCTAATACCAACTCCGCGGTTTCGGGCAACTCCCGCCATGGATCGTCGAGGCGTCTGTTGGGCGAGCTAGGCAAGCTTTGGCGCACCCTCCCGTAGCCCAAGTTCGTAGGTCCAGGCAAGAATGGACAAAGACTACATCACAGTGGGTGCCATGAGTCGCGCACAGAGTGCGGGGTGCTTCCACACTGGTATCAATTTCTCTCTAGGACTAACAATGATAGCGGTTCGGTTAACAGAGCAAAGGTTCGGACATCAGCACTGCAGCTCAAACCGTGCTTTATAAGTCTGAATCGGGCCAATCAGTGCTCGCGACTGCTTTGAATGCCCCCTGAGATACTTTCAGAGGTATAGATCTTTGAGAGAAGCTCAGGGAGATATGGTGTAGAGTTATCAAGTTAGGGAACCCAAGCTGTGGCGGTGTTCAGAAGCCCAAAATTGTTAACTTCGATATCGCGGGGTTCCCGCCGAAGTGCGACTTCTCCGGCTTATTGCCCGTGGGGAAATGGCGGCCCTGGGGTTTGGAGGTGGGGGTTCACCCGGGCTTGCGGGATAATGGTTCGTCGCTTTCACACCTCCCGCCCCAACTCATGATGGAATCTGACTTTCAACTGGTGGAAACATATTTCCGTCAGTTCATCCGTGAGTCGGAGCTAAACGACATGCCTAAACGTGCCGACCACGCGGTTCTGGTCAGTTGGGGGGGATACTTGTAGTTGGCTACTTTCAAGCCGGTATCGCTTCTTACGTTATCCCCAGCCAGAACGGAAACTTCCAGTCTCGTCTAGCAGAGATTGAGGCTACATGGATCATTTTCATGTGATGGCATGCTCATTTTGGCCAATGGAGAGTTCCTTGGAGCGGGTCGTAAAGCTTGTGGTAATGACAGTCTAGGCACATATCTCTTCAGTACTGTAGGGTCTTGGCCCCGGCGTTGCAACCGACTCCATGCAAGGAGACTGAGTGTTATCTTCGACTCAATGCACTTCAAGTCCTCTTGAATTTCTACGCAAGACAGGATGCTGCAAGCTTGAATGTGAGTTGCACGGGACGTGTCATGGGATGCTGTGCACGCAAGCAATCGCACATAGCGTCCAGACTAATGAACTCAAAGCGTTGGAAAGCCCGCCATTGCCTTCACCTATCGTGCCGGCCTCAAGACTCAATACGACGCCTTTGGTTTCGCTAGCCCTTATTCAAGGGGCTGACTCGGAGTCTGATTTGATTTCTCCACAGTCAGGTACTTTGAGGCACTTCACAAACTTACTCCTTCCGAAGTACCTCATTTGCACAATTTGCAATTGGCCATTGGGGACAAAGTCTGAAACTTGCAGTGCTGTCACTGCGAGTTCCATTGGATTGTTGTCGCTGCAAACCGTATAATTCAACATGTCACGGCGATGTGGTTGCTGAAGTACGTTTCTATCCCATCTGTCCATTGTCTTGGTCATCAGGTAGCTTGACAGTTGATAGTGAGCTCCGTCACTGAAGTGTACACTGAGTGTCTGAGATCTTCTCGCAATACCAAATCTCAGATTCTGTTTGCAATGATTAATAATCCTTCACCCCAGCCAACTGTAGTAGCTTATCCGTTATCTGAGGCTTCTCGAATGGCTCTTTACGGTGCTTGGGACAGACCTCGCCATTCCTTTTGGGAGGATCCTGTGATGGACGAATATTGCTAATCCTAGTGAACGAGTGCGCGGGGGGTCATCAGAAGATTTGGATGGGTTCAAACCTACCAGTGAGGCCAGTGTGTCGTGCCAAACCAATTATCGAAGCAATATTTCTTTGCCTCCAAAGCTTCATCCTTGGCGAATTTTCGTGGTGTCATACAGATGTACTGCACGTGTCTGATCTGATCACCTTTGGGGAATTGGGCGTAATGCATGGTCCGCGAATCCCACAATACAAAATCACCGGGTGCCATGTTCACCTTGAAGAGTTCGCACCCTTTACTTTCAAACCATTTGACATCCTTCTCGTTGAAGAGAAAAAGGTCCATGAATTTTATCTTTGGGGGTGGGGCATCCTCATGGTCGGCGGATTCGCGCTTGTGGGCGAAGAATTCGTCGAAAAGCTTAGCTGAGCCACACATCAGAACAAGGCCACCATCATTTGGGCCGTTGGGTGCGAAATTTAAAAGCCCTTGAACAGCTTGCATGCTAATAAACATGAGTGTGAGTTTTGGGACGACTTTTTCATAATGCGACTTACCCTTTTCTCTCGGGATTCTGGTCGCAGTGCGGCCATGGACTCCACATGCTATCCTTGCGATTTGGTAGTGAAATGTTCATGCCGTCGAAAGACGTGGTAAGTTTATTGGTTTCCCAAAGCTTCTCAAACACTTCGATGACGGTTGGCTCCATACGAGCCTCCCATGCCATTTGCTCATGGGACGCCCCGTACGCAGAATACATACTACAATGATAAGAGATGTTAGTCCCGACCTTCCTTCATCGAGTAATCAGGGGTTCAACTTACCCTCCCTTGAAACTGACTGGAAGGTGATCCGCAGTCCATGTAGTAGGATGCTTTTCGTCAAAGCCAAGTTCGAATTTCTTCAACCATTTGATTTGCTTATCGCAATAGTATTGAGCACGCTCCTTGCTGATGACATTCTTAATGATGACGCAGCCATTTTGATGAAACTCATTACGTCAATCTCCGTAGTGTTTGCCTGCGTCAAATGTCACGAGATCTTTGCTCTCGAACTGAGCAGCAAAGGTCCTCTTCACATCTACTGGATCGATAGTCTGTGTTCGCGTTGCCATTTCGGTTTTCGGAGGTTTGTTGTGAGTGAGACAGGTGCTTATAGCTTTTAGTCGTCGGCGCGGGGTTTGTAGTCACAAGATCCAATACGTTGAGGCAGTGAAATAACATATTGGTGGCGTTCTATTCATTGGTTTTGTAGTATCCTCTGCTTTTGATGAATAGACATAGGTTGAATCTTTTCATTCTTGAATTGTGAAGCTGCGGCCCCACACACTTCGAGCCCGCACCGCAAGATAGTCGGGGAGTAGTTTCCGCCGGGCCGGGTCTTCGGCTCGGTTCGGTTCGGGGGACCGGCGAACTCCGATCGAGCTCACCAACTATGCTAATCTTCCACTTCTGTTCTCACGGCCAGATTGTGCTACTTGTATGGATATTCCCGGTCAAGTAAGGATCGAGTTTAACGGAATTATTCATGGATAGTACTTTCTCGGTGGTTATAGGCCCGCCAAGCTCTATGATCATGGGAGGACTCAGGAGCCCGGGCTACTAATGTACTCAAGAGGCCGTCCACAGCGCTTGGTTCAGGAATTCGATTGCGAATAGACAGTCCATCTACCTAATTTATGTTATTTTGATATGTTTTAAGGCTGAAAGTTGCTCGGGAGGCCGCAATCTAATAACAACCAACTGAATTCGAGATTCTTTCAGACGTTAGGCAGAGTGGCGCAACGAGTTGAACAAGACCTTCAAAGCGAAGAGAATATTCTCCTCGTGTAGCCTAGTCAGTTCCAGCCAGACTTTAATCAAGCATTTGAGTTCGACGGATTGAGAAACTGAAAAAGGTTAGTCTAATTCGAACCGAGCAGATCGTGGACACTGTAATCGGTATAGGTATTACACTAGGTAGAGTTCCATTCTCGAACAGCGAGTGAACATCCATCGGGAACACTTTAATGCTGAGTTGGAAGTGAAGTCAAATCATTGGTTTTTGGCACCTCGTTAAGTCAGCTAGAACTACTAAGAGCCGGCCATCTAGAAGTAACAGCAGATCCTTAGTTTGTTGACTCAATATGTCATACTTATTCCATGCAAGGTCTGATTCTGAATCCTTCTGATTATAGACTTTTGGCATTTGCCGAAACCCCAGGCATAAAATTCATGAGCTGCTTCACCGATATGACGTGTCTACGCCACGTGTTGCTTGGTCGCCGCCATGATGAATCCTATCGGCATATGTTGAGGCATCTAAGACGACGATGGTCGCTGGCGCAGAATCGGACAGATATTTCCAGTGCAGGTGGTTTGAGTTTAGAGGGCGTGATGTCGTCACTTGCTAAGTCCTCGCGAAACATAAAATCATCACTTTTATTGTGACTATTGACGTAGCCGACTTGTGTTCTTTCATCATGCAGTTACCGCCTTTAGAGAAACTTGGTGCTAATACGTAGTCTACTTTATATAGCATAAATGGACTCCTAGTGACCATGTTGAGAGAAGATTCGCAAAGAATCTACGAGCCTACAATCTCCAACTTAGAAGCAAGAAAAAGGCTTATCACCTGAACAGATGGTTTGGAGGCGCGATAGTGTTATGATGGCGTGCGACGAGTCTCGCGCTGCCACAATGCAACCATCTCATTGGTATTTCACTGGGAGACAGATTGGTACTGAGTTCGACAGTGACTCATCCATCGAGTTCATTAACGGCTGATTCACGGGCTTCTTGCGGGCACATGCTGCCATTCAGGGGCTATGATTTTGCAAGTTTTCGTCGCGCTGCATGTGGCGCTACTTACTAACGTAGGTTAACAATACCGCCAGGCAACGGTGACTACAATACATGCGCTTGTCATATGTATCCATGGATAAGACACGCTGCAGATCTTCTTCGCAGATGAATCGATAATGCCACGTTATACCATCCCATCAACTGCGGCATGACGCCAAAATATAGTCAAATATCTGCCATAAAGGGAAGTAATGTAATTTATATTATTCCGCCATAACCCGGATAATTCCTATCTAAAACCCGCCCAATGTATTTGACTAAAAATATCAAGTATTAGAAAAAACTAGAGGCCTATGTACAGACTTTATGCCGCAGTTGATGGGCCACATATCTGCCATTTGGGCATCTTATTTATGCAACTTTGAACCAACGGTAACCATTCTACGCAGTAGTCTTGTCAGCCTCCTAGACGTCGAGAGAAGTTTCTACCATACTCAACTAGTCGGCGTGTTGAAAACCTCAAACCTGAGGAGTGTAAGCATCCTTGCCTTTGCAAAAGTTGCCGACTTATTACGCATTCGACTAAAGAAGTAAGTAGCAGCCCAAAAATGGGTGGTATTAGAGTCATCAATATCGTCAGCCCCGCACCAAGTCGAGTGGTTGGCGGAGAAGACTGCTCCGAGAGCACTTTGGGCATCTTATGAGGTTGGCAGAATTTTGCTTTGCCAGTATCACAACGAAAATTGCCTGCCGTCAGAATTTCACTCTCATCTTCTTAACATCGCCCTTGGTGAGATCTACAACCTACGTTGGACACCACCAGATTCCCAAAAGGGATGTACGTTTTTACGCGCTTGAATAGTAACCCAGGTCCTTTCACCCTCCTTCTTGGGGTCGTAGCACCCTAATGTTGAGGTTATGAGGACGAAGTCGCATCGTGGACTTAGCCGAGTATTCTTGACATAAAATGGCTAACTCATGGATAGAGACTAAGGTCACGCGTCCCAATTATCGTTCGCCTGAAGCATCCATCATGTTACTGAAGCGGCTGTGCCGGCACCACGAGTGGACCGACTAAGGTAGTCGTGAATCACAGCAATTTGATAGAATGGGCAGATCTCCTTTCGGTCAACATTTAATAAGATGCACCCTCAAGATGACCTGCGCTACACTTTTGGATTCCAGCGCCTAGGGTGTGGTTACAACAGAACATTGGTTGTTACGCTATTCCCCGTTCTCGGCCCGCTTCTATACTAACCCACCAACGGTCACATCCAATGAAAAACTTCACGGAGAATCTTTCTTGGCAAATCCTGAAGTACGAGAAAAGCTTCGAAGTACCGCGCCAATCGACTTGTTGCCAGCATCCACTTTATCGTGCGGGGAAGGCGAACCAGGGGCCAGCATGCACAAGCCTGCGCTTAACATACCACCAGTTCATGAGTGTAACCTCACCTCCGCAACCGACCATGCGCACCAGTCGTTGAACGAGCTGATAGTGGGGTTTACAGTATCACGAGGTTTGCCTCGTGTAAGGGCGATGTTGCTCCCCATGGGGAAGCATCAGGGCGGCGGGCTGATTCAATGTTATTTAAGGTACTAAGTGATAACTATAAAACAATCATCGGCACTTCTTTGCTGCCTCACATCGGCAAAGAATGACGGCTTTCAAAGCTCGAACCCTTCATTCAATTTTCGGTACCAAATTCCGTGTCGAGCTCCAGCCCAATTCGTTGCGATAATGTGGTTTACGACAGAAAGCCTGGGATGGCTAGCGTCCTTAGCGATACTTGTAGGATCGTCCGTCTTGGACGTGACCGCACAAGCCGTGCCTCCTGTCAATCAAGAGAAGGGTGTCTCGGCTTGGGCCTTCGACATGAGCCAGGTCACATTGAGCAGTGGACGCTTTTTCGACAATCAGGCTCGCACGCTGACGTACCTTAAATGGGTCGATGTTGAGCGCTTGCTGTACAACTTCCGAAAGAATCATGGACTGTCAACAAACAACGCGGCGACGAACGGCGGATGGGATGCCCCGGATTTCCCATTCAGAACTCACTTCCAAGGTCACTTTCTGAATGCATGGGCATTTTGCTACGCACAGCTACGCGACGCCGAATGCAAAAGTAGGGCCACTTATTTTGCTGCCGAACTGAAGAAGTGCCAAGCCAATAACAGCAAAGTTGGCTTTACCACCGGCTACCTTTCTGGCTTTCCGGAGTCTGAAATCACCGCTGTTGAGAACCGCACTCTCAGCAACGGCAACGTTCCTTACTATGCCATTCACAAGACCATGGCTGGCTTGCTCGACGTTTGGCGTCACATCGGTGACACCAACGCGCGAGACGTTCTCCTTGCGATGGCAGCGTGGGTCGACTCCCGCACGGGGAAGCTCACGTATGCCCAGATGCAAGCCATGATGGCTACAGAGTTTGGAGGAATGAATGAAGTCCTGGCCGATATCTTCCACCAAACCGGGGATCAACGATGGCTCACTGTCGCACAACGATTTGACCATGCCGCCATTTTCGATCCTCTAGCTTCGAATCAGGATAGCCTCAACGGCTTGCATGCGAACACTCAAGTTCCGAAATGGATCGGTGCCTCACGCGAGTACAAAGCGACAGGGACCAGTCGATACCAGGACATCGCCCGTAACGCGTGGAACATCACTGTCAGCGCGCATTCGTACGCCATTGGCGGGAACAGCCAGGCAGAGCACTTTCGGCTACCTAATGCTATCGCTGGCTTTTTGAATCAGGACACTTGCGAGGCTTGCAACACGTATAACATGCTCAAGCTAACGCGAGAGCTTTGGTTGACGAATCCGAGCGCGACGACTTACTTTGACTTTTATGAGCGTGCTTTACTCAACCATTTGCTGGGTCAGCAGAACCCATCTGATGGTCATGGGCATGTCACATACTTCACCCCTTTGAACCCCGGTGGACGTCGTGGCGTCGGCCCAGCCTGGGGCGGAGGAACCTGGAGTACAGACTATGACTCCTTCTGGTGCTGCCAAGGAACTGGATTGGAAACAAACACAAAACTCATGGACTCCATCTACTTTTACGACACCTCTGCGCTTTACGTTAACCTGTTCATTCCCTCAGTTCTAGCATGGACTCAGCGCAGCGTCACTGTCACCCAAACGACCGACTTTCCCCGCGGTGACACAACAACTCTGAAGGTCACCGGCGCTGGTAAATGGGTCATGCGTGTCCGTATCCCAGCATGGGCTTCGGGAGCCCAAGTTACTGTGAATGGTCAAGTCATAAGCAGTGCCGCTGGAACATACGCGTCCATCGACCGCGCTTGGGTCTCGGGCGATACCGTGGTTGTGAAGCTGCCCATGAAGCTGCAAGCTATTCCTGCGAATGACAACCCCACTGTCGCCGCAATCGCCTACGGCCCTGTCATTCTGAGTGGGAATTATGGAAGTGAAACACTTTCTACTACTCCGGCACTGAACTTAGCTACGGTCAAGAGAACTGGAACTACGGGATTGGCTTTTACGGCGACAGCGGGTGGCAAGACTGTTAACCTTGGTCCCTTCTACGATGCTCAAGGTTTCAATTACAACGTGTACTGGTCCATCAGCGGAAGCTTGCCTGCATGAGAGGCCAAAAGGTTCATCCAAATTCGATTCTGTTATTTTATCTTTCCGTATATAAAGTACTCAAGCACCTCAACCTTTCTGAGCACGAAGAAAATCGAATGTGCAATGTATCCGGGAAAACACCAATAATATGAGGTGTGTGAAAAAATACAAGTTATGAGCCTGTAACTGACATTCCTGTCTCGGACTATTACGAGATTTGCAGAAACTGCCCATCTCTAGCAGCCTTGGCCCTCACACACTGTCCATTCACTTTCAGATATCGATCGAAGGCATCTCTGCCGATCACAAATGGGTGCTCAGTGCCGTCTGGTCTGTGATCCAGGAGATCGAAGTGATAAAGCGCTCGGTCTTGGTTCTGGTGGTTGGCAATGAGTGTATCCACGCCCGCCTCCTTTGCTAGGTCCGCGAACCGGTTCAAGGACACGATTTGCTGGTCTTTGGCTGACGCACTGCTCGGAATGCCAACACCGCCATAAAAGCCAGCGACATGCTTTGCGCCCTTGTCAGACACGTCGAAGATTGTCGACACAGTGCCCGGTGTATGACCCGGTGTCACGAAGAAGTTGAACGTAATGTTGCCGATCGTCAGTTGGTCACCATCTGAGATGGTTTTATCCTTGATCGGTCCGTCTTGAATTTGCGAGAGAGTTTCCCAAGCCGCAGCTGAGGCGTATGTGGCGAAGGAAAAGTTGTCTTGGAGCCATCGGGCCCCGCCATAATGATCAAAATGTTCATGGGTAATGACGAGATGTTTGATGTCGCTGGTAGTGAATCCAAGTGTCTCGAGAGAGGGGATCAGGATACCTTCGGCCTCGGCAGCGTTGTTGAGAGCATCGAAGACGATGAGACCATCACCAGTATCGTAAGCCCATGCCGAGACAGCACTCTGCCCAATGTAGTATAATCGGTCAAAGACCTCGCGAGGGGCAATGAACCCTGGTATCTGTGTAGCGGAGGAAAGTTCAGGGTGGACTTGGCCGAGAATGCAGCGGTGTGCAAAGTATGGGTACAAATCTGGGCCTGCAAGCGTGCGTGCATCGTTCAACCATCTTGTGACATTGTCTTTTTGCTCCTTTGGAAATTCTGTAATGTTGAAGAAGTATTCAAATTGTGCATGGGCAAAACCCGCCAAAGCCATTACGTTCCACAACGTTGAGATGTTGGTTTTCATGATGAATGTCTGACACCGAATACAGTCTTAAGAAGAAGGGGTTGCATTTCGACGTCTCGATCAGCCACTTTATACACGCACTCATATTCTCTATTCGGAAATATGTGAGCAAGCAGGATCTGCATGTCTGAGTTTCTGGGGTGCGTAACCATCTACCGAGACCAAAACAAGCTATGATTTACTCCAGTGTCTACCTTCCAAACGAACGCAATGTTTGAAACTGAAGCGCATACGGCTCTGGAAGGTGGTATCGGAATTTGAGTCCCTATCGTGTAGGATAATAATCCGGTATCCCATTGAAAACCGGAATTCTGGGAGATGGGCGGGGGATGAGGGGTAGGCCGAACCGACATCACGGGGTCGGCAAATTGGAGCAGCAGACCAGAATCATTAGCTGGGGTCCATAGGGGTGATCCACTGGAATCTATCATCCATGCATTCGGGAAGATGGAAGGTGACTCTCGTTGATTTGTGAATACCAAATGTCGGTACACACGCCATATGTTGTCCGAGGTAAAATGCCGATACCCATAGCACTAGGGTTGATGGGAATCTACCATGCATTTCATAACGATTACAACTACACCTCATTTTTCTCACAGAATACGTAGCTTATCAAGAACAGACGCGGTGGAAGGAGACATCGACAGCGATCCCTCAGCCTTTAGTGGTATCAAAAATCTTTGTATCTTTCACCTCATTCTTAAGTCCTACTCTGCTTTTCCCAGCTTACGTATTTCAGCGCCGTACCAAGCCTAAGTGAACGAGCGTCAGTCGAGTCGCAAAGAGAAGCAATATTCCATCTGTACGGGTTGAGACTTACCGTCGCAGCGCCCTCGCCAATCGCCTTGAGTCCAAACTTCTTAGTGAACCAGGGCGCCTCAATCTTGCGCACGTACAACTTAGCGTCTTCATCCTTAATAGTGGCTGCAAGAATGGTATTCTTTGGTAGTGCCGGGTTCAACACTGCAGGCCTGCCAAGTCCGATGAGATCGCAGCCTCTGTTTTCGAGAGCCGCCTCCATCCCTTGGCGACTACGAAAGCCGCCAGTCACCATCAAAGGAATGTCTGGGAAGTCGCGGCGGATCGCCCGAGCGAATTCAAGAAAGAAAGCTTCGCGTGCCTTTGTACGATCTGACTTCTTTTCATCGGCAACGCCAGTAGCCATCTTATTGAAAACTTCACTTAGCTTGGAACCCCAACCTTGAAAGGCATTCTTGGTAATTACGAGATTAGTCGCCACTTACCAGGGGGTCTTCATATGTGCCACCGCTGACCTCCAAAAAGTCAACTCCAGCATCAGTAATCAATTTGAGCTGTTCGATGCAGGCATCGAGCTCAGATTGGGACTGGTGGTCAACTGAGTTGAATTTGATTCCGACACAGAAGGTCTTCGGTACCACTTCACGGATCGCCCGGATGATTTCAACAACAATGTTCACACGGGCGGCCGGTGATCCGCCGTAATCGTCGGTTCGCTTATTGCTTTTTTCGGACATGAACTGAGCTAGCAGGTAGCCGTGGGCGCCATGAATTTCAATACCGGCGAAACCGGCGTCCGACGCCAATTTGGCCGTCCGGGCAAAGCGACGAACAACATCTTTGATATCAGCAACAGTCATTTGCCGAGGAGTACCGAAGACCAAAGAGCTGATAAGACGCGCGACAAGACCTTGTCCAAAGTTCAAAGGTATCGCACTGGGTGCAATCGCCTTTTCGAAAAAGCCACGCTTGCCTGCGCCAAGGGGAGATTGGCGGCCAGGATGGTTGACCTGGACAATGGTCGGGGTGCCATTCTTGTTGCAGACCTTTGCCCAGGCCTTCCACGCATCTAGCTGCCGCTCATACGGAATTGAATCGTTATATGCAATGTCTTTGGGCGAACCAAGGTACCTCTGGTCAACTTCCACGTTGCCTTCCCACGTAAATTAGTCAGTTGATTCGCCGTACTTGATCGATCAGTCCAGAGCTGCCAGCTTGCGTACCAGTCAAGACCAATCCCCAACCACCATCGGCCCATTCAGCATAAGGTGAGTGGAAAGCAGGAGAAGGTAATCCTTCACTATCAGCCATGTTCTCGGCCATCGCAGCTTTCGTGAGGCGGTTGGGCAGACTCAGACCACATGCCAACGTCAATGGCTTCGCGATTGCCGAGTTTGACATGATTCTTGTGTTCGAATGTTGGTCTTGCTAGTAGTTCGAGTCAAGTCAATTACGAATCTGCTTCACTTGGAATATAGAGTAAAAAGTAAAAAGCCAAGTACTGAATGAGTCGAGTCCGGTTTCTACGTAAAAAGGGGGTCGCGGTGAATTTTGAATGATGAATCAAAACACACTCTCATCAGATACTCCAACTGAGTTAAATCTCGACTACGCTGTTTCCATGGACAAAACTCCGCCGCAAGGCCGCCACAGTCCCACAATAGGAGATCAAACCTCAGGCGTCATCCGAGTCTTGTCTTATCGAGAACCGATTACAAAGACCAAGTCACCGGTGAAACGGGGAAACCCCACTGCGTCGGATCAAAAACAGCCCGTTCAATGTATCTTGGTGTATCTGAGATTTGTGCCGAGGTATGGCGGAGTTGGTTTTTAATGCCAGCCACACCGAAGATTTGTCTAGCCTCCTCAAACCGGCGGAATAGTCCCGCCGGTTCCATCCAGCGGAGTTTGACATTCAATTAGTTTACTGAGCTTGAACACAGATAGGGGACGGATTTTACACCCTCCATCGACTCGAACCAATTTTTAAACCACACTTCCACCGGATCCGGAGTTTAATTACTGCGCCGCCCACGCAGCGGTCGATGCTTTAGACTGATGCGGGAGGCATTGCGCCAACGGAAGGCCGTAGGGACTTTGGACGCTTATCTTGCAGCACAGACACAGGATAGCGTGAGTTCGATATCTTTTCCAACGCAAGTTGGTCAACAATCAAGTCTCGTCTACCAATTCACGTCACCCAAGGTGAACTGACCTGCGCCAGAAATACGGATTTTGAAGTTGGTCTGGAAATTTGTGCCAAACGAAACCAAACTTATCCAATCGCAACGCACTCTAGGAGATTCCTTATGTCTATCAAATTTTGCGGCCCAAATCGCAGCGAGCATGGGAAGCAGAGTTGGCACAGAGCCATGTGGTCCAGCTTTGCGCCACGCCTGCACGTCAGATGCGGGACGGACCGATGCACCTCCATCTACCAAGTCGGGTTCATGTTCATGTTCATGTTCTTGAAATTATCACTAGAAACCCTGATAATGGAATGCTCGTGCATTGAGTGTAGGCGAGATTCAAGGCCGAAGTTTTGCGTGCATTCCCATTTCGGGCGAGGTGTGCGTGACGCTCGGGGACGGCACGCGGTATTGAAAGGCTATTCAGATGAGTCGTTGTGTTCGCGTCTCCTTGGGCACGGTCGGTCATGCGAGACGATGGAAATATCTCATTGCGTCACGGCCTGTAGACAGAATAAGTTAACGACCACAGGAGAGTTTTCGATTTCATCGCGTTGTGAGTGGGTAATTGGATCTGCCAACTGGAGCTTGATAAACTGTGGCAAGGCGGCCGGAAAACGGACGACGTAACAATATGCTTTCGACATGGGTAATAATGCTTGCCTCGTCGGGAAGCCTCTATATGGAATGTTCTGCCTGCTACCGACATGTCACCGAGCGAAGACCGATCAGTGAGAGCAATCTTCGTGGAGTCCACATGAAAGGCTTCAGCCTAGGCCCAGGGCCAACTCCTCAGCTTGACTGATCTATCATCATAGGTGCGCGTCAAATGTGAACACTAATAATACCCCATGTTTCCCAAAGCCCCATTCTTTATCCTCATGCAAGTTGTCTCGGCTCTAAATCTCTTACTAGAAGCTCCCCTGGATCCCGTGATGGCACAGCGGCATTTCAAGACCGAGATTCGGATCGTTGTGGGGAACTTTTACGCCTACCACGGTCTTCTCAATTTCTCCCTTCATTTTTACTGCCATGTTGCTTCAAAATTCTCTGCACTCGGTCCCGCGGGCATGGTGTTCCGCAACTTAGGCCGGGGCTGGTCCTTGCTCACCCACCTCGTTAACCCCAAAGCAGCTCACGCCTCCGCGTCCCCGCGTGATCTTGGATTGCTTGACTCAGGGATTCGAGAACAAGCTTCAAGCGGGGCAATAACGAGAAGGTCATTCATGAGCAGAGAAAATTTCTGAATGATGCCGGCAAAGCACCGAAGAAGGTCGGGCGTTGAGCCGAATTGGGCAGCTGGGGGGGTTTGAGAAATATGAACGCTCCCTAGTCATGTGAAATGAGGGGAAAGAAACCGACAATCGACCGATCGACAGGTACGGGGAAACAAGCTTAAACGGTCGTCTATCACCGCAGTAGATGATTTTGGGGCGTCTTATTGCCCTGTAAATGTATCGCGTCTCGCGTGCCTGATGCTGTGTACTAGATTGACACTGACATATGCCAGGGTGTGCATCGTTGGCCTCCTCTGCCTACTGCTTACCCCAACAAATGCTTACAGGCAGCCTAGTACCCACCTCTGGAGGTGCTGACCACCTCGCTCTCGCTGCCGACACCCCCGAGCCGAGCAGGTGGAAAAACAAGACGATTCACCCGACGTATGGGGTTACAATCTACACCATATTGGATCATGGGCTTCTTGTCTCCGCCAAGAGAGGCTCATTCCCTTTGACCTTTTTTTGCCAGTCAGTATGGAGTACACCGTCGCTCTAAAGGACTCATCTAGCCCGCCGCACCTGACCTTCAGCAAGGGGGAAATGCGCCTCCCCGAAGATGGTGAAATAAAATGCATTCGATCTACCCGCAAGTGACTCGCGAGCGATTCTCAGCAGCCCGGATCATAGCTCATTTCTGTGTATGTGCTCTTTTGAAAATTCTTGCCCAATTGGATCCCTGTCGTAGGTAAGACGACTCAGAATCTTGCCAAGGGGAACCCCAATGCTACTATGCCTGTCAAGAGTCAAGATCAGACGAACTGTCGGTCTGGGCATCCTAGGGGCTAGAAAGATTGGATATTGGGTACCTTCTCCAATTCACCATTTGCGCAATATATTTCTCCAACTTCTTCTACGGTAACATTTCAGGAGGGTGTGACTAGTTGAAAAGGGCCGTTTCCAGCCCGTGTACTTTACCATCGTTCGATAGTGACATGTGAATGCGTGTGGGGTGGAAAGGAGGCAACACCATGCATGGATCGTGGGGTTCTCGGCAGTGGTCCCCGCGTTGTGTTGTAACGGACCACCATACGTGTAGGGCTAGTCGGTTCTAGTACTTGCCGACCCGGTTAATTCAATCTGCTGGAATGAAGCCCAGGACAACGACATGTGGCTACAGGCCATCCAGAAGGATGACAGGATACAGACGCTTGAGAGTATATAACGAGAGGAACTCTCTCAAAAAAGTGAGAGTGAGAAGTGAAACAGTAATGTGCAGTCTCAAAGACAACCAGGTCGCTCATTTACACCTACTTTGCTTCATTCACAATCTAATTGCACCTTGTTACTCTGCCAAATTTGATTCACAGCTCCTAAGGGTTCTATTTAAGACACCACTATCACGATTCAATTCAATGGCGATCAACAAGGTCGTTGCGGCGCTTGCCGTTGGTCTTACCGCTGTTCATGGTGCAGTCCCAACAATTCCTGGCTTCAGTCTCACGTGGAGTGACGACTTTGTCGGCTCTGCGAACAGTTTGCCCAATACCGGCAACTGGATCATCGACACCGGCACTTCCTATCCTGGTGGACCTGCCAACTGGGGTACCGGAGAAATCCAAACCTATACCAGCAGCGTCAACAATCTTCGTCTCAACGGCAACGGAGCCTTGCAGATTACAGCCATCAAAGCTTCATCTGGTTCATGGACATCTGCTCGTATTGAGTCTCAACGTGGAGATTTCATGGCTCAAGCTGGTGGCAAGATGCGTGTCCAAGCTAGCCTTAATCTGCCCGTTGTTGGTAGCAATGGTATTGGCTATTGGCCAGCATTTTGGACTCTTGGAAATGCATACCGCGGCAACTATTGGTGAGCCACAATAGCACGGGGGCGGTCTTAAGTTATGAACTGACACTGATGTAAGGAATTGGCCGGCCATTGGAGAATTTGATATTATGGAAAACGTCAATGGCATCAACCGCGTTTGGGGTGTCATGCACTGCGGTGTGAATCCCGGAGGTCCCTGCAAAGAGACTGACGGCCTTGTTGGAAGTCGCGAATGCCCCAACAGTGCCTGTCAGGGCAACTTCCACACCTACACCCTCGAAGTTGACCGCACCGCTGAGCTCGAGGCTGTGAGGTGGTTCGTTGATGGCATCCTATTCTGGCAAGTCGTTGAGACCGATTTGCCTGCAGACGTTTGGACCCAGGCGGTCCACTCGCCTCACTTCATCCTGCTGAATCTCGCAATTGGCGGTGCATTCCCTAACAACAACTACGGGAGCACCACGCCTCTTGCGAGCACAATCTCTGGGGGTACTCTCCAGGCTGAGTATATTGCTGTGTACAATGCCTAAAGCCCTTAACATTAATGAGAAACGGACGCGAAAGGCTTTCTTCTTGTGGCTCGCCCAATTGGGTAGACTATCTTGTTTATCTAGGCAGGCCTATTTCCTTGTCAAACTATGCTGCAGCCTTCTGAATCTTTCAATGTACATATCATATATTATTAGCTTTTCAAATGAAAAAGCTTCCCCCATTAGCACCCAGTCAAGGGTTTCTGGACGGAGAATGAATATAGAGTGATTGCTTCGGATTCTTTGGTCTCGGTCCAGTGACGTTCGCCACGAGGTACACTGCACCTCTTATTCGGGTCAGGGCCAACTTTAAGCCATGCCCAGGTGAACAATTCAGGGTCAAAGTCCTTCGCCCGCCCGGCAATTGTCATGCGGTTCATCCATAGTAAGTTGACGACAAAGTGAGTACTTGAGATGGAGTCAGATATTGCGACCACGAGCTCTGGGTCTGAAAAATAACGCACCGATGGGTATTTATTGAGACGAAATACGAGTGGAATTGAAGCTGTACTAACCTGGAAAAGTTCCCAAAGTACCGACAAAAACCGACATTACCCCAAGGTAGGCTGGAGCTTGGCCTTCAATGACGTGACGTTGCCAATATTGTCGCCAATGGTGAAGGATCTTTCTCCTTCTT